TACAGTTTGCTCAAATTTAAATAAAAAAATATAAAAAATTATTATATAAAAAATTTAAAAACTCTTTGTAGAAGAAATAATAAAAAGAAAAATTTTTAGATGTGCCTTTGAAATCGATCGATTATCAAAATATTCACGAATGATTTAATTACTTATGAATTAATTGTCGATTGATGGCGTGATACACAAAGGGAAAACGAGACAGAGAGAAAAATTAAAACAATTGTGTGTGCATTTATAGAATTGGTAGTAAAACGGCGGTTTTGCAATACAATAAAAGGCTTCGCGGTTTGACGGGTGCATGTTGTTACATTTATAACCGGCGTTGCGCTTTAGAAAATGTTAGACACAATAGAAACGATCGAAGGGCTTCCAACTATGACGAGAAAGCTTTATCGTTAACGATATGTTCACGTTCAACTTCTGATGGTAAGAACCGAACCCTGGTGGGTTTTGATGTCCATTGTGAAGCTTTATGAAAGGACAACTATATGCCGGACGACTACCGGATAACTTTTATGCTTTGGAAGACGATTGGAAGAAAATAATTAATAAATAGTTAATTTAAATATATAATTTAAATTAACTTTTTAATTAAAATTTGAACTGTAAAACAATTGAAAATAAAGTAAACAAATTATAGAACAAAGAAACAATAAAAAAAGAGAAAAAAGAAATAGAAAAAGACAGATATTCTATTAACAAACAGACATAGAGATATTAGATTGCGCTTATCAGTCGTCAAAAAGCGCAAAGCGCGGTTTCGTTGTATGCATTTTGTGCGATGTGTTCATTAATTAAAACACAAACATTTCAATGGCTCTTATAGAGCTTATTCGACTCATAACGATACGTGACGAATATTCAACCGTTCGTTTTCGCGGTGGATGTAATTCGTGGAAGTTATTTTAACTTGCGCGTACAAAGGGTAAAAAGGCACAACCTCGTTAATATTGTTATGCTAGATATGTGTTCCCACGCTAATTATCCAACCGGGCTTAAGTTAGTCGTAATTCTGCTTTTCGGAAAGTTAATTTACGTTTTACGCAAGCTTACGGGAAGCATTTTATCCGGAGAGAAGTGCGGGACTCGGATGTCGATCTGCACTAATGTAATCGAGAACGTGTAAAAAGATGAAAGCGAAAATTCTTTGGAAGACGATTGGAAGACATAAAATCCCCATATTGTGATGAGGGAAATCGAAAAAAAAAAAGAAAGGAAAATAAAAACACTTCTGGCATTATTAATAACAGTATAACACATATTTGGTTTTCAATTTACTCTTTGTGAGATTATTTATGCTAGCAAAAAATCGTCGGATTAAGACAATTAATGTAAAGCAAAATTACGTGTAAATGATTTTAGTAAAACATGAATTTACAAAAATTTTTATTATTTTTTCTCTTTTTCTTTCATACTTCTCTCTTTCAATACGTCTGCCTCGATTTCAATTATTTACATTTATGTAACTTGCAAACTAAATGTAATCGAGAACGCGTAAAAAGATGAAAGCGAAAATTCTAATACTGTGTTCCAAATTTTGCGAAAAGAGCTACAAGAGTTTCGTCAGTAAAATTACAGGGAATTCTATACAAGCTTTTCTGCATGTTACACAAAAATTTCTTTCATAAAATACAATATAAAAATTGGATTTACTTGATCTCTCCAGATCAATTAACCACTGATATCCCAAATTAATCACGCTTTACTGCGGATTCTTTGATTAATTATAAATCGATTTTCCTTTATCAAAAATAGAAACATATATATAATACTCTCGGAAAATTCTTTCCTTAATCTATTAATCTATTAATTAATTACTACAGGTCTCCCCAATGAGCTGAGCATATTCTGGCAACAATATCCGTGGGCTCTGGGCGCGGGGCTTTGCAAGATACGGGCGTACGTGTCGGAGATGTAAGAAATATCTCTAATCCTCTCGATAACTCTCGTCGAGTGACATGTTCTTTTAAATATCAGCGACTCTTTTTGCAGGTCATCTTACGTGTCAGTTCTCACAATCGTGGCGTTTTCTATGGAGAGGTATTTGGCCATCTGTCATCCCTTGCGCGTCTATTCAATGAGCGGTCTCAAAAGACCAACGCGCTTCATCCTTGCGGCCTGGTCGATCGCGATGGTCTCGGCCATACCGTTCGCGATTTATACCAAGGTCAATTTCGTCGAATATCCGCCAGGTTAAGCAGATATATTTCTTTTCTTGCGTGATTATCGGGGCATCACGCGAATATATGTTCGATAACTAACTTGTATAGATTTTACATTTCTTTCTAATTACGTGAACACCCTGTCATTTTCTATTTTACTTGAATTACAATTATTTATTAGATATTTTTGAAGATTTCTTTGTCGAATTTTTTACTTCTAGAATTTTCTTTTTTGTATGCACAACAAATTTGAAGTTTTACAATATGGATTCTATTAAGAGTCTATCAATCAAAGTTTGTGATTATATTTACACTTTAAAATTTTTTATAAATTTATTAACAATTTTTATAAATTTATTTTATAAATTGCTATATGATATCATTAAATATTTTTCAGAATCTGGAAATTATTCGGCTGATTCGGCGATTTGCGCGATGCTTCTGCCCGATATGCCAAGATTTCCCCTTTATGAACTCAGTTCTATCGTATTCTTTTTGATACCGATGCTCATAATCCTTGTGGTATATACGAGAATGGGATTAAAAATCAAGAGCAGTACCAAAAAAACACTTGGTCCAATACCGGGTTTTGTTCATGGCGATTCTCGACAGACTCAGTCCAGAAAATCTGTCATCAGGATGTTGAGTATGATATTATCATTTTTACTTTTCTTCTAATAATTGAATTATAATAATAATTAAAGAATCAGCAAAGAAATTTAATATTACAAATATAAACTAAAAATTGAAACCAGTGTATTTTTAGTGACAATATTTTATCGCTTCTTTTTTAATTTTTAACATTAAAGGTCCTTATATAATTAAGCTTTAAAGCTTAAAATTATTCTTTATATATTATTTCAGGCGTGGTCGTTATCATGTTCTTTCTCTGCTGGGCTCCATTCCACGCCCAACGTCTGCTTTACATCTACGCACAAGATACCGATTATTATCCGGATTTAAACGAATGGCTGTATATTCTCAGTGGATGTCTGTATTATTTCAGCACCACCGTCAATCCTATTCTCTACAATTTAATGAGCATCAGATATCGCCAAGCGTTCAAACAAACGTTATGCTGTAGAACGAAGAGACCGACAAACAAAATCTTAATGGATAAAGGATCTCATCAGTCCAGACGTGATTCCATGAATAAAGTTCGCGATCGAAGTATTATATGTTCTATTAGGTATGGATTTGATGTTTGAAATTCTTAATACCACCGATTCGAAACTGGTATATTTAGAAATGAAGTAATTAATGATATTTCTTTTTCGTGCGAAAAGTATGTTCTATATTAGTAATATAACAAATGATTTTATATATTAAATGTTTATTTTATATTCTAGTAGAAAACATAACGTTATAAAGTCTCGATCTATATTTTATTGAATGCTTTGCGTAGATTATATTGTAACAAGTTTATATCTTTTCTTCAGGCATAGCGTTGCTCAAGTCAAAGAGATATTCTGTTTTACTCCGAGCAGTCAAGAAAATACCAAGGATAGAAATAGCGAAAATACAAGCAGCTTTCCTCAAAACGCTTACTTGTTACAAAAGAAAGATTCATCCTCGACGTTTCTCTTTGAACGAGGGCATTTACTCGTTCGTCAACAACTTGATACGATTTCCATAGCTAAAACCAATCTGTGATCTATCTTCATTAGTTGCATTAAAACATATGTAGCGTATTACATTGTAAATAATTTGTTTGAACTATTGATTATAAGCGTTAAAAGAATTTTATAACATTGTATAACATGACTTTTTTATGTCAGATTATTGTAAGTGCCTTAAAAATCGTGGCGACCATTACGAGGACCACCCTGTATATAACTAACTATCAATTATAATATAACACAACTAAATTTTATATTATTTATTCTAGAATAAACTTTTACACATCATATGTACCTCTCTCTGATATTTATTTAATTTACATGTACAAAACCTCTGTGTGTTGTGTATAATATAAATATTTAATTTTAACACGAGGATAATCATTTTTACCTGTGATGAGCGATTATCTTCATATAAAAATTTTTACATGTTTTATATCAACGCAATATTTAATAAAGATGAATTTATATTTATAATAGTTTAAATAAATATTTAATAAAACATCATTGTGTCAAGGTACAATTCGGCCCAATTTATCAACAGTGATATTATCAGTTTATTTCTGTTTAATTGATTTTTCATATATAACATAGTTTTTTTTTTGCATGTATAAAATATTATTCTTCAAAGAGACAGAAAAAAATTCAATAAAATTTTAATAATATTATTATATTATTATATAAAATTATTATATAACGTTATTGTATAAAAAATTTTAATAATGATATTATATGCTCGCGCGGGAGCATAATGTGCAATTAATATTTCTGTAAGAATATTATCTATATAAGTAAATATAAAGATTCTTTCTTATTTTTTTTTCAAAATCCGCATGCTGAAAAATCCGCATGCTTAAAGCAGCTTAAGCTTTGTAAGATAAAATGATGAGGAAGCAATGTGCAAGTTTCTAATTTGCACAACTCTACTTGTTTTTCAATTTTAATATATTAGTTTAATCATCCAAGTTTTGTGAGACATATGCGGCAATTTTCCTGCATTATGTCAAAGTCATTACGTATTTATTTCGTTTTAAATAAGATACGTATTATATGCATAATGAATATCTTTGTCCTCTTTTCCTCTTCTCGATATCAACAAGAACTGAGATAATATTCAATGCGCAATTATTTACACGTTTGTAGCTTTCAAATCGCGCAGACAAAGCGTAAATAATATGTATGTATGTATATGTGTGTGTGTGTGTGTCTTTGCATGTGAGACGGTCGCTGTGTAAAGCAACTTAAAATATGAAAAGCGACATAAGTTAATATATATAATCCGCCCATTCTTGTCGTTTATATATTAAGGATAATTCGGATCTCAAAGGTAATTCAAGCAGAGAAGTTCCTTAAAGAGTTTCTGCTCCAGTTAGAATTTTAGTATCATCAGACAACCCGGCACAACTTGATTTTATTAGGTTCAACCTAAGTGGACTATTATAGTACTTACAAACTACAGCAAAGCAATTTGGATAATGGGACATTTTAAATAACATTAACTTGTATCGTTCGCATATTTTTGTTGCAAAGGAAACTATACTGGTCGTTTGAGAATTATTGTAATGAAAAAAGTTTTATTGATATTTGTGCTTTGTTTAATGACAATATGACAATTTAAAAACAATTACTGCATTTTTCATCGTTTATAACTCAAAACCAATCAATACTTTAATATTTTTTGTTAAAAAAATCTCGGTTTAAAATTAATCAAGAAATCCGTAAAAATGCATTTTACCTTAAGATAAATCTTATATATTTTTCGAATCTAAAAAAGTATCGAAGTCATTATAATAACAGAATTTGAGAACATGAATAAACAATAAGATCCTGATCAGGAATAATTTTGTGGTTATCTCATCCTGAATTTTTCTTCAGATCAATTCTTTTTCCGCATAATGTACTTTTGTCAGCATTTCCGCAAATGTTAAAAGATGAGATAAGAATCGTTTTATTAAATCCCGTAGAGAGTCTCTGTCGACATTTTTAACACTGATATCAAAAGCTTTCTTGAAGCAGGAAAGTAACTCGCAGAATAAAATGTTATTTGTTCATATTCTCAATTTTGAAAAGTACTTTGTGATCACTATTTGGCGACCACTATTTAGATATTATCACAGTTTCAAAGTTTTATTAATGTTTCGTGATGATCATAAAATGTTTTGTACGATGAGAGAATTTTTGTGGGATTAATTAAATTAATTAAATATAAATAATAAATAATTTAATAATTAATAAGGAAATAATTATATAGGCATGAAGAAGAAAAAAATTAAATTAAAATTTTATGGAAGTTTAAAAGAAATCGGCTTTAAAATCTGAGAAAAATTGTTTCTTATAGGATAACAAAGGACGTACATTTTATGATTTCATATTATCTCACGTAATATTAATTAATGATTTCGTAATATTTTCATTTAAAACTTAAGATCAAGAAAAAATTTTTATAAAGTTTTTCTCTTAAAATTTCTTCTTCAAATTCATTTCGTGAAGTACTGTAAAGACTTTGTCAAGGAGTACTGTAAAGACTTTGTCAAGGAGTACTGTAAAAAATATTTCTAAAAAGACTGTACCGAAGAAGTTTGTTAAAAAATTCATTTTTTTATTTGAAGCAATAATTTTTCGAAAATGCAAAGCTATAAAATGTATTCTCGCAAGAGCCATAAAAGGAATTGTTCAGCTATAAATTATCTGCAATAGCAGAAATGTTAAGTTGCGCACGCGATTGCTATCAATTTCTGTCGTCTTCGAGAAACGCAGTCTATCTTTCTATATGAGCTACAGGATTTGTGACATTGCACCGAGACGATGACTTTTATTCTTTGCAGTGACACTCGCAGCATCCACTACGTCTGACATAAATAAACGTTCCACGCGCGAGAATTCGCGTAGAATATGCCAGATGTTGGCGAAGTTTCAGAAATGACATAACGGTGAATAGTATGGACATGGACTAAAAAGCATTATAATGTTCGCTAAATGTTTAATGAAGTTACGTCTGATTTTTAACTAAAATTTCAATAAAAGTTATTGACAAACTACGTATATTCGTAAAACTTCAATAGCATTTCTGTGTACTTGTGTTCCACTGGAACTTAAACTTACAACTCGCGTTGCGAATTAACTTAATTGCTTCAAAACTTGGAAAATGTAAGAATTAAATGTTAACGTTTGAAAATAGAAAACGGCATTTTAATGTAAAACATTTGCATATTTATTCTAGCAGAAATCTCAAAATATACATTAAAAGAATTAGAAAACATTTAAGAAATCACATTTTTTTTTACATTTTCATAAAACATTTGCATATCTATTCTAATAGAAATCTTAAAGTGTATACTATGAAAATTAAAAAATGTTTAAAAATGAGAAAATGGTATTTTTTAAATGTACATTTGTAGAATTTGCATATTTATTCTAGTAAATATCTTAAAGTGTATTTTATCCTGAATGTTATCAGATGTTTGCACAAAATGTAACATGAGAGTTTGTCAAATTGGATTGTCATGTAAGTCTCTAGAGTTATAAGAAACGGTCCCCTCAGTGTAGACTTTAAAAAGATTTTACCTACTTGCGACAGTTCAATTTGTTCTCCCATCTACACATTTCGGTCTCGAAAATCCTGAAGACACGAGCGAAATTGCATACGCGAAAATTTAGTGAATGTTAGCATTCTCTTTTTATATAAAGATAAAAAATAATTAATTCTTCTAACTTGTAAATTTATGCAATTGCGCAATTACGCGAAAGAAATTATTAGCTATAATTGTTGTTTTTACTCGATTTACTCAGGACACCAATTGCAAGTCGAGAGACCATAGCATGGCAATGAGATTTCTTTAAAGTAATGAACATGCGAAGAAGAGACGTTCTTTACATTAACAATTCTTCAAGATCAATTATGGAAATTAGGAATTCCACGGCAAGCGAAATAACAGCGAGAGATGTAAGAGTGATAAGACTAGAATGAAAATTTATTTCGCCGGAAATACAGAAACGCAAAGGTACTTAACATGTATAATTTAAACACTAGTTTAAATACTTCTTCGAATTTACTTAATATCATCATTAAAAACAAAATGTCGAGATTTCTGAAACTAAATGATGTTAAAAATCCACAAATCATGTTTAATGCAAGAAGTCTGCAAGAACCATGATTCGTCTGGAAGAATATTAGTATCAATCACTATAATCATCCGCAAAGTGATAGTAATAATTTGCGAGAAAATCCTGCAGTAAGTTAAGATAAGAAATCGCCAAAATAAGAATGACAAACAGCTTCAAACCGTGCAAGAAATCTAAGATAACCCACGCTACAAAAGGATAATTATATTTTCTTACTGAAAGATATAAAATTAGACAGATAAAAACAATCCTTTACAGATAACAATTTCTTGAACTGTCTCGAATAATATACAGGGTGGTCCTCGTAACGGTCGCCACGATTTTTAAGGCACTTACAATAATCTGACATAAAAAAGTCATAAACAGAAATTTATCAGTTTATAACCGGCAACAAATTGCGATAATAAAAATTGACCAAACATTTTCTTTTCCATAAAAAAAGCAAGGTCATCTTTATTTTTTTAAATGGAACCCCCCCCCTTTTTTATTGCATATTCTTGTAGCTTATCTCGAGAGCTTTTCAAAACACTATAATAAAGTATTTTTTCATTAAGTACTTTTTGAGTTATTTTATATTTTAATCTGACATATTTTGATATAAAAAATAAGTATTTTTATTATTTTTTAATTCTTTGTTCGTAATAAAAAAATGATTCGTTAGCTTTTTATTGCGCCTGCAAGATAGCAACATTTCTTGGATTTCTATGTTATAAAACATCTCATCGTTATCAAACATATCTAATTCGTTTTTGGCGATTTCTCATCTCGTGGCTGATATCTAATGCAAATGTAAACATGAAAGGATAGATAATTTTTTATCTTAGCGCGATATAATAGCTCTGCACAAATATAATAACATCGCTTGCAATTGCGCAAATATTAGTACACGCAATTGCATTAGATATTTCTGCG